GCCTGCACGCCGCCCGCCGCCAGCGCGCGCGTGCCTGCGAATAAACTGAACACGATACCGATTGAGAACACCATACCTCCACCTCCATCGAAAGGATTAGACCCTTCTGAGGTTAGAACAATTCTTGGATTTGATAAGTACAACGTCCGTTTTAAAATACTACTTTTGCTATATGTGTCCGTTTAATTTGTCGTTTTACTTACTTTTTGTATTCTTTGGCTTTCTTCTTCAATTCGGCGGCATGTTTCTCGACCGGCTGCAAGTACTTCTCCTTGTAGGCGGGCGTAAGGCTGTAAAGAATGCCCTCCTTCTCCTCCGCGGCCGCAGTCAGGGCCGTCAACTGCCGCAGCAGGCCGGGGAATCCCACGGCCAGGTTGTGGGTTTGCAGCAACAATGATTGAGTCTCATCGGTCATGTTATCCGTCGAGAGGTTCGATATATCCTGAATTAATGACAGGAGAAACAAATTGATATCCACAAAAATAGTAAAATTTTTTAAAAACATTTCTTAATGATTACAGGAACACAAATAATGTTTTTCGAACAATGAAACAGGATTTACTTCTAATATGATACGACACCGCAAACCGACGTCTCTAATATGAGCGAGCTTTGGGACAACTCTCTTCCTCAGCTCGGCAACGCCGTCCCCCGCGGAGAAGACGGCGTCAGCCAGCCGCGGCAGGTCCTCCGCGCGCCGCTCCCACTGCTCTAGCGCCGCGCGCAGCCGCCGCACGCGCCGCCACGTGTCCTCGATGCGGTATGCGTACTCTTGCACCGACGTCGACTGCAGATTAGCCTGAAAATAATATTCATCCCAAATTACTTATATTGTACTTATCGAAAATGAAAGCTGTATTTGTGTATAGTAACTTACCGAGTCGGAAACATCACTAGCTCCGGTCATGAAATCGGAAAGTGTTATTTCCCTTATATTCTTTAGCAGATGTCTCGCTTCTTTGATAGCTCTGTGAGCGCTCAGATGTTTCTCCCCCCGGGCGAAGTCGTCAAGTGCCGCGACCTGCTCGGCCAGGAGCCTCCGCTGCTTCAGGACCTCCTCCAGCCAGCTCATGCTCTCCAAACTAATGTATTGTGTTTCCTTTTCCCTTTTACTAGCTTCCAAATGCACTCTGTTGGCCATTGTGATCGCGTCGTGTTCTGTTCTCTCCATTTCACTGATCCAATTTTCAAAGTTTCTAGAACGTTCTTTATCTTTCTTGACCTCATACAGAGAGTTGCGTAGCGAAGTTGCATTGTGAGCGAATTCTCGGAGAGCGGGGAATGGCTGCGGGATCCTGCTGAGCTCGGTGAGGTCTGCGCGCGCGGCCAGCGAGCCGCCCAGCCGGGACACGTCCTCCAGCAGGGTCTGTGTGCAGTTATCGCAAGCTGAAAAGGATTGTGTAAAATGGTATTTACAGATTGATCGGGGACCAAATTTGATGATTGTAATATACACGTTGGTTCTTATAGATGGGTGGTAATCACCGTGAGGAATTACTGGAATACTGATTGTTTATCTATATGAACTACTTGAGACACAAATTAATTTCCGCTTACGTTTGCATCCGTCCTCGTCGAGGTAGTGCCTGGGCAGATCGCAGCGGTCGCAGCGCTCGCCGAGCACGTGCGGTCGACAGCGGCACTGCGCGCGCGCGTCGCAGC